TTAAATTTGTCTATTATTTTCATGTTTTTAATGAAATACTTTTTGAATTATAAATACATTGGAAACTATACTTTTATTGGAAATGCTACATATTGAAACATTAAAAAATTTATGGATTTATTATTATGCATGATGAAAAACATTTGTATATACATTCATTAATATAAATCTTATTCATTACATTAATACTAATAAATATATATTAACAACTTCTAAAACATCGCATCTCTCTATCTGTATGTAAATATATGACTTATTAGATGTGTATATATATATGTATGTATGAATACAAAAATGAACATTGCCAAGAAGTTTATTTGAAGTTACTTTTAATTCAGATAACGATTATGTAATTGGCAGCAACTATAGTTTATCAGTTCTTTTTTGCAAATTATTATGGGTATGTAATAATCAGTTGAAAAATAATTGATGAGTATTTGAGTACTAAAAAGTGTACACATTTTGTTATTGGGTTAATTCATAATTATATCATACGTATGATCTACGTAATAAAAACATGACTAATAAATAATAAGAAATGTAACAGCTGTGCATTTATAACATTTGATTACTTAAAACAGCGCTCAACTGATTATCACCTTCATGTCTGTTTACATAATGAATTGCACTTTCCAATTAAGTGCACGGACCTACTAGTGGCTGAAGCGTCACTGAACACTGGTAGTTCTGTCTCAGGTTAGAATGGCGCGAACGGGCTGGCTACATGACGTTTCCTTGGTTTGCCCCATTTGTAACTGGTATACGAGCCAGTTTTAAAAAATCTTCTACAAAGGGATCCCTCCTGTTGTTATCCGTCGAGGCTTTGCGGTAATCACATAAAACCAACTGAGCCCACCAGCGGCCGAGCGGTAAAGTCGCTGAACACTGGTAGTTCGGTCCGAGGTTCGAATCCCGCGAACGGGCTGGCTGCATGGACGCTTTCGTGGTTTTCCCCATGTGTAACGTGTAGACGAGCCAGTTTCCCTTAGAAAGTCCTCCCCGAAGGCATCTCTTCCCTTAAGCAGATAGCCCTAGTGTGCTTTGCTGTAATCTCAATAAATCAAACCATAAAACAAACTCATGATGTGAACACCTAATTTCTAGAGCTGGTATAATTAATGTGTTTTAGGTATATTACCGAGTGTTCTATGGGACAGTAAACAACTCGCACATGTTTGATTGCTCATGTATTCATATGCTTTATTTGATCTTCATTTTGCTGAATAGTATCTCCTGGCTGTGAGGAGGTAAATATCAGCCATATAGATTTTTGTCATTTGAATGGACAGAACAGTAATTATGAGCCATAAAGTTAGTCAGAAAATGCTTTCACCAGGTCACAAATTTTTTTCCAGTGAGCCATCAAATTTTCATTGAAATGCAGACAACAGAAAATACACATAAGCGATGTGTGATAAATAGACTTATCCAGCACATGTTTTAAACTATTCTTAGAGTGTATACAGAATTTGGCTATTACTGATGTAATTGATTGCTATAACCAGAAGTGTGTTTATCTGTTACATGAAGTGCCAGAGTGGAGATCAAAGTGATTAACTTGATAGCAATCACCTTTCTATTATCTTCCATTACTAACAATAAAATTTAAAACGAAAAGCGTGTGAGCGATTCAAAACAACACGAAGAAGCGAATGTCACTTGAAAGGAAACGTCACTTTCGCCAATCTGAGCGATAACTGATTCTTGTTTGGCTTTCAGCCTGTTTGCCAAGTGAAGATGGTAACCCTATTTCGCCAAAGGCCGTTTCTCAGAACTGTTGCTACAAACGTTTTGTCCCGGCAACAAACAGCTAATGTGATAACGGCTTTAGGCGTAACTGAACTACTTTAGACAAGTATGCACCCGTTGTTGGTCTCCAACGGCGTCATTCACCTGGCGCCAGTCAGAAAAATTTATGTCCAATAGGAGAGTAATACCGTATACGCTCGTGTAATGTCCGCACTCCAACTTTACAAACAAAATTTATGTAGAAAAAAGTGACCCGCACAATGTCTGCACCCCCAAAACTAAAGAATTTCTTACTTTAAAAGATATTTTTTAACATCGCCTTTTCCCCCCTCAGTCAATAATATTAGTCAATAAACATCTTTAAAGAAAGAATATGCATTTTTTTTGTCTTTCGCTGGCACCAGTATGGAAAGGACAGACTTTCCTTGCATTCTGGTGCAGCTGTTATTCAGTCATCACATCGGCGCCAGCAATCCCCTTGGCAGACGCGAGAATAAATAAAGGCAGTCCAAACAGGTTTACACTACACTGGCTTCCAGGAAATGCTGTTTTGTAGTGAAATTACTTTCCCCTCCTTCCCCCTTGGAGCATTCGCTTATTTCAAGCTATCTCTTTTCATTCATAGTATCATTTGGAATTCGTGGTAGTTAGCAAGTAGCGCGCTTGAAATGGGAAAATACAACAGCTTTTAAACTAAAAATCGTAGAATTTCCGCAGTAAAATGTAAAAAGAGCATCAGCAAGAGTATATAACTTGGACGAAAAGTATGCGCAACTGGAGCAAACAGCGTGATCAGCTGGCGGCAACGAGGCAACGAACAAAACAAGACGTGCATTTCGTGGTTCGAAATGTAAGTTTCCGAACTTAGAAAAGAAAAGTAGTTGCGTATGTTCATGATATGCGTGCTCAAGGGTACGCAGTAACACGGTAAATGTGCCAAATAACAGCACTTGCTGCGGCACGAGAAGAAGACATTCCTACATCGCAATTCAAGTCGAGTGACGGCTGGTTGCGGCGAATAATAAAACAAAATGAATTTTCGTTTCGCCGGCGTACTACAATATGTCTGTGTGTGATTATGGCAAAGCCTCGAGGGCTATCTGCCTAAGGGAGGGATGCCTTCGGGGAGGACTTTCTAAGGGAAACTGGCTCGTATACACGTTACACACTGGGAAAACCACGAAAACGCCCATGCAGCCAACCCGTTCGCGGGATTCGAACCTCGGACCGAACTACCAGTGTTCAGCGACTTTACCGCTCGGCCGCTGGTGGGCCGTACTACAATATGTCAAAAAAATGTCCAGTGACTATGAAGATAAGTTGATGTCTTTTCATCGCTTCATTATCACGAAGCGGAAAGCAAATCATTATTTAGCTTCCCAAATTGCGAATGCCGATCAGACTCCAGTTTATTTTGATGCTCCAGACAATTACACCGTAAATGAACGGGGTGCAAGATCTGTACTAATACGCCCATGCGGATATGAAAAACAAAGAGAAACTATTAACAGTTACTGCCGATGGCAAAAAACTTCCGCTGTACGTGGTTTTAAGCGAAAAACAATGCCGAAAGAAAAATTACCACTAGGTTTTTGTAGTACGAGTTCAAGAGAAGGGGGCGGATGGATTACGCTTTTGTGCAGGACTGGCTACAGAGTGTGTGGTATAAACGACCTGGAGCTCTATTGTAACTACCTTCTATTCTCGTGTTGGACAGCTTCAAAGGGCATCTCACAGACGCAGTGAAACAAAATCTTGAAACCTCAAGAATTGATCTTGTTGTGATTCCAGGAGGTCTAACTTCCATTCTTCAGCCACTTGATGTTTGTATAAAGAAGCCATTTAAAATGGCATTCAAACGGAGCTACAGTAATTGGATGACTTCCGGGGGAGGGGGACCACAGCAGCTGGAGGTCTGCGAAGGGCATCCATCTCAGAAGTGTGTGCGTAGATTATTGCTGCGGGGAAAAGCATATCCGACTATGTGATTTTGAAAAATTTTAAAGTATCTGGTATATAAAATTTTTTGGATGGAACAAAAGATTATCTCCTTTGGAAGGATAACGTAAATGAGGAAAATGAGAAAGATGGCGTGAGTGAAGAAAATGAGGAAGATGGTGAGTGAAGAAAGGGATGACAATGATAATTAATACGTGGAAAAAGGAACAAAACTACTGGTACTACGTATTGAAAAGTGTTCGTGATAAGTTTTTAAAACCTGCTTAAAATTCATAACATAAGAATCAAAATTTTCATACAGTGAGTTAGATTTAAAAAAAAAATAATGTGTACAAGATATTATAAGAACCAAAGTTTATTTAATTTGTGTAAAAGTAAATATTAAAATTGTAAGTGTTGGTTGATATTGTGCTCCTCTGCGAACTAATACGCACCAAGTATTGATAACGTAAACGGGGTAATTTATATTCTTTTATTACATATCTGGATGGGAGAAAGTGAGTTTGTAAATTTTAGGTAACTATTAGACAACTTTAAATTTGATACTTATGCCATTTTCTTCTACTTAGAGCTTAACTTGGCTGTTTGAAATGAAATTTATACCCAAAATTACTCACGAGAAAAGCGCAACATTCGAACGACCCGTGGAATGGCCGCACCTGCATTTTAGTGACGTAATTTTAGTAAAAAAAGTGCGGACATTACGTGAGCGTATACGGTAGTGTACTTTTTATGATCCACGCTCAATGGCGTGGAGGATGGTCACATAAGATGTAGAGAAAGAAGTTGACGTGGTAGAGGAAAACTAACTACAGTTTTGAAATTAGTATGCCTATTTAACTCTGAAATGGCTCAAAAATCAAACTCAGCAGAAATTTTTACAAATTGTTTATCAGTGAAATGCTTGTTGGCTTGTAGTTGATTTAAAGTGCTCAGCAAACGATAGCCTACTTTCAAAGAATGCTGTAAATGTTTTTATGTAATTATCGACTGCAAAATGAAGAAAATTATTAAGAATTTGAAATAAGTGTTGGAATCATTAAACTAAAATTTGCTTAATTTTTTTACAAATCAAGAACGTTTAAATACAGTCAATGGTAAATACGAGCAAGAATTATTAACTTGAATACTGATACAATTGCAGTATCAAGAAAAATTTGTTTTCTATAATTAAATAAGTAGCATGTAAAACTTTTAAAGGTAAATTTAGTTTTTAAGGCAGTATACATTTGGAACATTCTTCATTGTAGCATGCATTTATTAAAATTACGGACATGTAAACTTCTTTTTAGATGAAAATCAGCCATCAGAAATGCTGAGTTATTTCAGAAATACTGTTATATTCATTGGTAAGTTTTAATAACTTTTTCAATTTAATTTTAAGAACATAATAATGAAAGGTAACATTTATTGATGAAACCCTAGTTACATAAAATCGGTAATTATTTTAACAAAAGGAAAACTGATAGCAATTTGTCCACAGCTTATGTTAGTCATACTTAGATGGCTACTGGTTCTGATCCTGAAGAAATGGGATAAATAATTGTGAGTAATATTCGTATACATATTACTCACAATTATCATCGATTCCACACAAGTCCTTACCCGGCCTTTACTTTTGGAACTTTTGGTGGTACATCGAGTCCACACAAGTCCTTACCCGGCCTTTACTTTTGCAACTTTTGGTGGTAGCATATACTTCCAGTCACAAAAATGTCTCAGATGATGCAAGTATACATATTTTGGTTTTTGTAAAGTTAAAGAAATCAATTTCGTAAAAATTATGAAATCTAATTTTTATACATTCCCCCAGTCCTTATATTTAGGAAAATATTATACTTCTTATGAAAAATAAAAATCCAAAAGTTTGTACCCCAGTACGACAAAAATTGACCGAATTATTTAATTTCAAAATTTGCTATATCTGACCTTATTTTCCATTTGAATTGAAGGGTTGGTTAATAAATAAATCAAAATCATTAGAGGTGGTTGTTTTTTTTTTTTTTTCTATTAAATGCCATTCAATGATTTCGGTGATTGTTCTGTGACTTGATAGAGTCTTTAATTTATAATTTTATTACATTTGGTATGCCAAAAGAATGTTCACATAAGTAAAATAAATGCATCATGAAATTTTATTACTTTAGAATTATAATCTGATACTCGAACAAAAATTCCTGCAAATAATTTAGACACACGGCAGCGTGTCAGCCAAGCTCGGAACAGACGGAAAAGAAAACAGCGAAACACCGGCCATGTATATCTTACACGAATCATTTCGAGCTAGTTTCGACCCCCATTACTCAAAAACTGTTAGACCTACAAACTTGAAATTTTGTATGTCTAATAGAGCTCCCTTGAACACCTATAATCCCAAATTTCATTAATCTTGCCTCTCATGATTATGGAATTATTAAGGTCTGAAAAGTGTCATTTTTATCACTAACTCACTGACTGATCAAAAACCTAGACCACTTCTAAATGACTTAAATACTTGAAATTTGGAATCAAGGTAGATCATTAGGCATGTACAAAGGAAAAAATCTAAAACTTCAAAAAACTGCATTATTACCGAGGTTAAACCAAATAATACTCATAACGAGCATTTGACAACGTTACCAATAGATGGCGTTGCACCGATTGTTTGTTTCCGCGCCACTCTGACGCTAATCAGCTTTGCCAAAAGTGAAGAATAAAAACCTGTTATAATAGATGAAATGATAGGACAGAGGTAGAGTGCAATGCCAGCTCTTTTTTTCATTTTAGTAGTGGGTTCGAGCCTAATTGCAGCGATATCGCGAAAAGAATGTAAGCAACTTTCAAACGACCAAAGCGCTGCCGTTCAGTAACTCAAATTTAAGTAACGAAACAGATTCCAGATGCAAATAAAACAGTAGAAAATAAACATTAAAAAAAAAAAAAAAAGAAAAAAGAAAAGAAAAGAAAACGTGAATCTGTACTTTAAAATAAAATTTGAACATTTATATTTTTTAACAATTAAAAATAGCTCTTTAAACTTATTGTTTACATACTTACGCTCCTAAAAATTCTAAAACTTCAAAAAACTACATTATTATCGACATTAAACCAATTAATACTTGGGGAATGTCGACAATTTAATAATTATTGTTTACAGTCGGTCACCAATAGATGGCGTCGTACCCAGTTAAATCGCGCAAGCGTTGTGTTTTCGCGAACCTATATAGGCAGAAGAACGCGCGAGCTGGAGTGTCTCAATTTAAACCTTTCGTTGATTAATTGGTTAATGAAAAAAAATTGAAGGTCACGTATTTGTTAGCTTTTCAAAAATTAATGATATCATAACAAAAACATAAATGTTAAAAAGGGGTCAAGTTCGGGAGAAACGACGTTCGGTGTAGTTGGTGTCACCGACAAAAGAGTTGAGATCTAACAGATGGCAAGTTCCATAGCAGTTTTTTACATCATAGCTGTAGGAATGTACAACGTTCTTCAATTCATTTAAAAAACAATTTATTACTTTCTTTGGTATCGGATCTTTGGACTTGGAAAGTTTTAATTGTCAATAAATTAGGTTAAAAAACTTTGACTTTTAGTAATTAGCTTTCCAAGTAAAAAATACGACATCAAAGAAAGTAATAAATTGTTTTTTAAATGAATTGAAGAACTTTGTACATTCCTACAGCTATGATGAAAGGAACTGCTATGGAACTTGCCATCCGTTAGATCTCAACTCTTTGTCGGTGACACCCGACTACACCGAACGTCTTTTCTCCCGAACTTGGCTCTATTCACATTTATGTTGTTGTTATGATTTCACTTTCTAATGACTACAAATAATAATAACACTTCGCTACTTGCCAAGTGCACTTGGCTAATTTTTCCCTTCCTTAGCGCGTTCGGAAAAGGAGCTTCCTTAAATTTTAAAAAAGAATTATTCACATAGAGACTGTTATCGTCTTACTAACAAAGATAAAATCGTCGCAAACTACCCTCAAAGGTCACGCAAAACGTTCTCTTCTAACTCTTGAACTTTGTACCAGTCTAATGCTAGAACCGACTCATTATGGCGAAGGAAATATGAACTGATATTAAGTCTAAGATTTCGCCGAGTTGGCTGCACATTCATCTTTTCTTACTATTTATGGATGATTTGAGGCCTAAGGCATAGCAGAGACAATAGTAAGAAGCATGAGATTCAAGCTACGAAAGTAGAAATGAAGATATCTTATTAGAAATTCTAATGTTAATATTACCACGCATTCCTACTGGAACGCAGGTTTATTTTAAAGAAATAATTTTGTGATAGTTATCTGTATTTTATCCACGGTTACGTTTCATTTATTATGTACTTAATGTAATCGCGTACTTCGGAAATTAAATGATTCGCATAATTTTCTTTTCTCGATTTTCTGACGATAAAAATAGCGGAAAAAAAGACGAAAAATACACAATTTTAGTTCAAATGCGCCACTTGAATTAAGTTCTTTAATATTCTCACAAAGGAGGAACTTTCTAAGAGAAACTGGCGTATACAATACACATGGTGAAAACCACGGAAACGCCCATGCGACCAGCCCGTTCGTCGGTATTCTAGCCCCGGACCGAACTACCAGTGTTCAGCGACTTTACCGCTCAGCCGTTGGTGGACTCACTGCTAGGGCTGGAGATAATAACTAAAGAAACAATAAATAATAATTAAAGCAGCTCTACCCGAAAGGTCATTCAGAATGACCTAAAACTAGCATCAAAGCAGTTCGTAGAATGCAGATCATAAAATTAAATCATATTAATTATTAAGGCTAAAATTCCAGATTGCACTACTGAAACCTGAAAAATTCACAATATTAAATATGCAAAGTGCGCCCATGAAGTAAACTGACAAATTGAAAGACCAAACGATAAAATTTAAAAAAAAAAAAAAAAAAAAAGTGAAATAATAAATGTATTTTAGAAAGAATGATATCTTAACTCTTATTAAAGCTAGTTGAAACTGGTTATTTTGTCGTCTGCATATAAAAATGCTAGATTCATTTTTACTGAGATAACATTAAAAAAAATTGCTGCGAGATGGAACTACATTTTAACATTAAATTTCGTTACAAACTCGGTAAACTTGTTACCGAAACTTAAGAGATGATTTGAACAGTTTATGGCGATGCATTGTTATCCAGAATACAAGTGTATAAGTGGTACAGCTGTTTTTAATGTGGGCGCGAAAGTACAGAAGATGAAACACGTGTCGTAATCAAAGATTAAAGTGATGCTGACCGCATTGTTTTCATACAAAGAACTTATTCATAATGAATTTGTCCCTCAAAATCAATTAAATTAACCAGTATTTTTACAAGGGGGTACTTTTCGATAAGAAACAGGATAATGAGAGTTAGGAAGGGAAATTTTAAATTTTGTGCAATGGTTTCTTTTACATGATAATGCCAAGTTCCATACACCATTGTCTGTACCACAGAATTTTGCTAAACATTCAACTGCAATATTTCACCTCCCATATTCTCCCGAGTTTTCGTCAGCTGAGTTTTTACTTTTCCCAAAGCTTAAGATATCCATGAAAGGATAGAGATTTGAAAGCACGTCAGATATTAAATCAAATGTTATGCGTATTTTGCGAAGGGTTTGTTCCAACGCCTATAAACAGTGTTTAGATAACCTGAAGAAACGCTGGGAAAATTGAATAGATTCCTCTGGCGATTATTTTGAAGAAGATAAATTTATTTGAAGTTTATTAATCTTTTCCTTATTTATAAGAAATTGTCCGCATAAAAATAACACAGTACCTGTTTTCCAAAATAAATGTCTTAAAATTAGAATTTCATTTTAAATAGCTTTACAGATCATTGTCATCCTCAGCTTCAAAACCACTTGTAGAGGCACTAGGTTATTTCGAAGCAGGAGACATGAAAAGTGTACAATGCCCTCGCCGGGACTCGAACCACAGACCTCTCGAATACGCGCCGAGCGTGCTGACTATTACACCACGAAGGCATGTTAAGAAGGTGGGAGAAATACCTTAAACACTATTAATTAAATTAAATATTTTGGTATTTTCCAGTGTTTTCAAATACTGAGTTAGTATTTTTGCGTGTTAACAGTTCGTATAATTTTGTGAATAAAGGTGTCAGAAGAGCAGAAATATTAACCCGAACTTTTGAACGTTTTTTATAACTCCAAGCAACAATTTTTACGGATAAAAATAACCGGAGCAAATCCGAATTACGTATCCAGTTACTTCCCAAATATAAAGGGTGTTTCATAGATCATGGGACAAATATGGAGGGGTGGTAAAGCGTACTAAAACATGCATTTTTTTGTATAGGAATGTAGGGTCTAAAGTGACGGGTTAAGGCAAAAACGGGGGGCACGAAGTAAAATGTGTTTATGTACAAAATCAAGGTGACAGGTGACCGAGGGCGGGGACGCCTGGTGTTTAACAGGGGTAAGCAGGCATATGTCCCACTCCCTCCACTATCCAGATGCAACAATTCCCTGGAGCCTCTCAAGGCCGCATCGGGAGCTTATTGATACTCCATTCAGATTAAACATGGCCATACAAGGGCAACATTGTGCTACACTGAAATTTGATGTACATTTGTGGGCGGGGTAGTCTTGTTTGTACATTAAACAAAGCATAAACACACATGAAATGTACACATAAAAAGAAGAATACATAAACACTTAAAACACCTATAGCACTTAAACACCTCAAACATTTTTAAACATTTAAAACACCTAAGACGCTTCAGACACGTAAAGACACCTAAACACTTAAAGACACTTGAGAAGGTACATAAAAACACTTAAACACTTAATACAATACACAATACAAATATGAAATAGAGGTAATACAATGTACAGTGACACAATATGCAATAATAAACGCATAAAATGCAATACTCATATGCTCAGAAGATACGTAACGCAGTGCACATGTACACAGTACGCATTACACAGGGCACATGAGTAATACTCTGAGATATTAGCATGTTAACGGGCGCAGTGCAGTGGCGATAGTAGTGTACAATCAATGCGGCTATAGAGGTAATACAATATGCAATAGAGGTAGTACAATATACAATAATACAAAGTGCAATAATAAAGACATATAATGCAGTAATCAAGTCATTCGCAACTCTGATGTCGAGCATGATGGGTGAGTTTATGCACAGGGAATAAGCTGACATGCATCTCATGTATGCACAATAGATACCAGACACAGAACACAGATACACGGGATGCAGTAAGTAGGACAAAGAATGCAATGCAATATGCAGCAGAGGTAATACAATTTTATTGTGAATATTGCAGTAATACAGTACTCACAATAAATGTTCAAAAAAGAGAACACTAACAGTAATAGGAACTACAGCTGTGATTGGCTGGCAATGCAGCGGTAGTGAGTGAGCCGGACATACCACGATCCGATGTATCAGAGGATCATTCGCAACTCTGATGTCGAGCATGATGGGTGAGTTTATGCACAGGGAATAAGCTGACATGCATCTCATGTATGGTGCTGCTAATGGGAACGGCAGAGCAGCGTTACGGTTGTACCAGGAACGGTTTTCAAACAGGCGTATGCCGAAGCACCCAATGTTCGAGAGGTTGTATTGGTCTCTGTGTGAAAACGGGTCATTTGAAGCCACCTCTGACACTAGGAGTTTAAGAAAAAGTGCACGACAACCTCGCATTGAAGAATCCATCTTGAACATTGTGCGTGAATCACCTCAGAGAAGTACAAGAGCTATTGCACGTCGTCTGCAGCTGAGTCATTCCACCGTTTGGAGAGTATTGCATAAAAATGGTTTGCACCCATACCATTTGCAGAGAGTCCAAGCCTTGCAAGAGACAGGTTACCCTCTTCGAGTTCATTTCTGTCATTGGTTCTTGCAGCAGTGTGCGGCACAGGCGGATTTCCCATCGGATGTGCTATTCACGGACGAGGCAACTTACGTGCGCGTACAAATGACTTATGTTATCATATTTTTCTGCAAGAGGTGCTACCGGAATTGCTGCAGGATGTTACGGCTGTCGTTCGTGATCGTACGTGGTCCCAGCATGATGGTGCACCAGCCCATAGTGCGGGTCCGTAGTTACTTGGATGGGACATTTCCGGGCCGATGGATTGGCCATGGTGGACCCATTTGATGGCCACTCCGTTCGTCAGATTTATCCAGCTTGGATTTTTTTATGGGTCCATCTGAAGAGCATCATTTAAGAGACTATCGTTGACTCACCGGAGGACCTCGTTGCACGAATATCCATTGTGGCTGCAAGCGTGCGCGAAATGCCTGTCGTTTTCCAAATGTTCGTCAGTCTCTTCTGCGACATTACCAAGCTTGTATTACTGCTGGTTGTCGCAATTTTGAACATTTATTGTGAATACTGTATTGCTACAAAGAAGCACTTTGCGTTGTTTTTGTACATAAACACATTTTCCTCTCGTGTCTTTTTTTTGCGTTCCTGCCTTAACCCGTCCTATAAAAAAATGCATGTTTTAGTACGCTCCACCATCCCTCCAAGTTTGTTTCATGATCTATGAAACACCCTGTATATAGTATAGCAAAAATGTACGGCAACATTTAGAACTTACATGCGTCCACGACAGACACAGTTATTTTCCCTTCGCGTTATCTAATACATATTAGATAGTCAGAAGGGAGAAAGGAGAAAAATAATTTGAATGCCGTTGATTTGGATGATGTTTCAAGTTCCATATTTGGTGCCAGCACCTTTCTATTTGTCGAACTAAAATGTTTATTTTTTTATTTTTGTAGTTTAATTGTCTTGTTTAATTGATGTGTGTTTACAATTAACATACAGCAGTTTCTTAAATATATTATACTCATTAAAATGCTTTGTATTTTTCTTTAGGTATTTTAACATTAGTGCCTGAAATAAAAGGCAGAAAAGTTGACACAAAGAAATGTGTGAAACCACATGGCCTTTTCCCGAAACCAGGTAGCTTCTGCAAATCATATTACAGATGCACAAACTGGATTCCTATTGAAGAAGAATGCCCTTTTGGGCAGCATTTTGACGCCATCCACGGCTCGTGTGAATATGCTGAATTTTTTCCATGTTTCGAAAGTAACTTCCATATCTCTACAATTAAATCTTTATTCTCAGACTTATTATTCTTAGTCTTTCTTTAAATTTTATTTTAATTTCGTTGCAATTCATTTAGCTTTGTATAACCTCAATGAAGGCTATACATAAAATGTATGAAGTGGAACAATAAAATATTTTAATATTTAAATGTTTATAAGTAAACTATGTACCGTTGCAATACAAACTTGTTCGAGAATACCTACAATTTTACTTCCATTTGTTTATTCTATACTGTTAGACAATGAAGAATCTATGTGTTTGTTTGTATGTTCCTCATATTGTAGAAACATGGCAGCAATGAAAGTCACCCAATTTTAAAAACACATAGTTCCTCCATCCAAACATATGCACTTGGAAGCCTAAAGTTTAAATTTCGAGTTTATTTCTTATTTATTTCATGTACGAATTCTGTGAGTTTTTATTTAATAAACTTATCCCTTGTAAGTGAGCAATGGCAACACTTTTGGTAGTAAAGTATTTTTGAGACTGTTGCCATTCCGCAAAATTTTAAATATTTACCTTTCAAATTTTTTCCACAGTCACCCAGACGGTATAGTGGTTAGGGAAGCCTGACTGCGATACCGGAGGGCCTGGGTTCGAATCCCTGAGAAGGACTGGTTGTAACTGTGCGTCCCTTCATAGGAGACGATGGTGGCCTACCTTTTAGGTGCCTCCATAATAAAGAGACCACCATATCTGGCCTTGTATAGATTCATGGACTGTGTTATACTGTAACTGTGCACAATCTGCCATTGAAAAAAAAATTAATAAAAAACCTGAACTATTTAAAAAAATTGTCTCCACAGACTAAAATAAGGCACTTTAATTTTCCACGGGCCGGAGTGTTGCCATTCAGTAAAGCGTAAAAAATTTAACATTCAAATTTAATCTGTTTGTTACCGAGTAAACCAAGCGATTTAAGAATAACAAGTGCAATTCTTAAAAAGCTTTTTCTTCTTTTTAATCAGATTAACTTAAATGTATCTAAATTATATGATATCTAATTAAAGATATTAAATATTTTAATGAAATTATAATAGCTGGACTCATCAAAATCATTACACTTTTTTTTTTATCTAAAAAAGCGTTTTTCTAAAAAAAGCTTTTGCTTAAAACTCACAAACTAATTGATGAAATGAAGGAAGAAAAATAATTTATGATGCAGTTTCATAAGAATAAGATAAGTAAATAAATCAGAGCATAATAAGATAGTAAGAAATATCTTTGCTAAATTCATCTACAATTTTACATCACGAATAATAAAAGTGTGGTTTCTCGATAATAAATTTATTAATCAAACTGCATTGCCAAAAGTATAAAACGGGATCTGTATGTAAGATAAAAATATGAAAGCAAACTTCTAATTTTAATGGGCTATAACCTCTTTTCTTTTTCATTTAACTTGGGAACTTCTTCTCTCTATCTTAAAAATAGAGCTATAAGTCTAAACTTCGTCATTCAAATGAATCATGAGATCCTACGTAACGCTTAATGCAAATACCTCTTGCCCAATCACTAATTAATTGTAAACTAAAACTTTTTTAACTCGAACTGAAACTCTTTGACGCTCTCCCTTCTTCCCTGAATTGCTGCGACACTTCTTTGTTCACTGAATATGTGCTGAGCTAACAAAAATTTTGTTATTAACAATTATTTTGTGAGTTTTAAATAAAAGCATATTTTATAAAAACATTTTTAGCACTAGATATGCTTTCAGTCTCAAAACTTACGTTTTATCAGTATCATTTTTCTGCCCGAACCACTTTTCAAACTGTTGCCACCTCGCATTATTAAAAAAATAAATCATAAATAATCTGTATTAAAATTTGGTGGCATTAAGAGCCACCAAATTTTTGATACACGTATGCCTCGATCCGAACATGACCTAGCCCATTGATTCGGTTAGCATTGATCATTCTTTTTAAATTACATTTTTTAGCTCGACATTGAAGCTTCATTTTTCTTTTTTCCGTATTTGTAAAGATCATTAAGGGGACTCAGGGTACAGGGTTGGACAAAATATGGAAACACCTTTAAAAAAACATGTTTCTTTGCTTAATATGGTGTAGGAAACCCGTTGGCATCCAAAACAGCTTGCAGTCTTCTCGGAATGGATAAATACAGTTCCTGTATGTTTGCCAAGGGAATATTATACCATTCTTCCTGCAAAACGGTGGCAAGTTCAGATAACGATGTTGGCGGTGGATAACGAGAACGCACTTTCCGTTCCAATGTAGACCACAAAGGTTCGATAATATTCAGGTCTGGTGACTGTGGTGGCCAGGGGAGATGGGACAACTCATCCTCGTGCTCAGAAAACCAGTCCTGGACAATGTGAGCTGTGTGAACAGGGGCTTTGTCGTCTTGGAAGACACCATCACCATCGGGGAACAAAGTTTGTACCATGGGATGAACTTGATCGGCCAAAATGTTCACATAAGTCTTGGCAGTCATGTGCCCTGACACAGTTATCATGGGGCTAGCAGAGAACCACGATATGGCTGCCCAAACCATAACAGAACCCCCGCCATGTTTCACTCTTGGCAACAAGCAGTCTGTATTATAGGCTTGAGATGGCGTTCTCCAGACGTAAACTCGGCCAGAAGTGGGAAACAATGTGAAAGAAGACTCGTCAGACCATATTACTCGCTTCCACTGCTCTATAGTCCAGGCTTTATGACTTAAACACCACCTTTTCCTGTTACGGGCATTAGCATCACTGATGAGTGGCTTCTCAATTGCAGCACACGGCCAGCAATTCCCTGTTTATGAAGCTCCCTTCTAATTGTTTTGGTACTCACAGGGTTCGGTAACACAACATTCATTTCATTTCAGCAGTAACTTTTGCAGCTGTGGTCTTCTTATTTTTCGTCACAATTGCCCTTAATGATCGTCTGTCACGATCACTCAGGACACACTTTCGTCCGCGCTGTGATTTAGCAGATGATGTTTTTCCGCTTTTCAAATATGCGGAATAAATCTTCGATACAGTACCTCTTGAAACACTAAACACCTCGGCTACCTTGCTTACGGAAGCACCTACCATACGTGCTCCAACAATTTGCCCACGTTCGAAGTCTGTTAACTCTGACATAATGCAATGACAACCTCACATAACAGTACTCCGACAACAACTGAACTGTTTAGCACATTTATGAAGTTGTATAGGTGGCGTCAGTAGTCAAAAACGCCAGCGCCACCTACATATTTCATTAAAATCAATCTTTCTTTTCAAACATGCATTTCACAAGGTGTTTCCATATTTTTGACCATCTACTGTATCTCATTTTAATCCGCAAATTAGGTTACTTAAAAGCACTGAGTTGGCACTCTCTCCAATACAGTACTTACTATTATCCCAGCTTGCTGCCATTCAGTAAAGTGTAAGCTATTCAATTTTCAGTTTAAATCATCTTGCTTCTGAGTAGCAAATCAAGTGATTGAAAAGCAATAAACGCATTCTTAAAAATAATAACTCTACTTTTTAACCTGATTGATTTAAATAAAAATAGACATGAATCATAAGATGTCAAATTAGAAGTATTACATATTTTTATGAAATAATACACATAAAAATCATTATATACTTTTATTACGTTATAAGGTATCTCTCCTGCCTTCTTAGCATGCCGTCGTGGTGTAATGGTCAGCACTCTCGGTACGTATTCGAGAGGTTCGAGGTTCGAATCCAGGAGAGCGCATTACTAATTTTTCATGTCACCTGATTTCAAAAATTGCCTGATGTCTCTATAGTGGCATCCTAACTAAAATAGGCGGTGGAAGATTTGGCGACTGGGTCCCCTAATCCCCAGTCGCCCTTTAAAAGGGGGAGTGTATGTAAGGTATTTCTTCCGCCTTCTTAGCATGCCTTCGTGGTGTAATGGTTAGCACGCTCGGCATGTATTTGAGAGGTCCAAGGATCGAATCTCGGCGAGGAAACTGCTAAATTTTCTTCGACGATCTTGTCGAAGAAATAGCAGTTCCCTCGATTCGAATGTCTTCGAAATATCCTAATATCTCTACAACGTTACATACTTGCTCATTAAAATAATTATTTTATTTTTTTCTTTTTTGTTATAACTCTCTTAGGTGGTTGGCCGCTCGAGCCGCTAGTTTTCAAAGAAATATTGTAGGGAATGTTAAAAAAAAATTGCATTTATTACCCTAACAACCTCGGCAATTCAAACATATTCAGCTTTTAAAACTTTTGTGATTTTGTTGTTGAACCGTGTGGCGTAAGTGAGGAGAAACGTAATAAAATAAAAAGAAAGAAGAAAAATTGTGTTAAGCAGATGTGAGTAGCCTGCAAAGCTCAGCGAAAGTATAAACCTTAACATACACTCTGGTATGACATTAAACCTTTCGAATTTTCTTTTCTTCTTTTTTTAACCCTATTTTATATCGCTAAGAATTTAAGCTTCGAAATTCTTTCCTCGTTTTGCGTAACACGCTGATCCACCCAACCATTATCTAACTCTGATATTATTGTTACCATTTCAGAGCCACCAAGTAAAGAATGTCTTCGACCCAATGGAAATTTTTTGAAACCTGGAACAGGCTGCAAAGTTTATTACCAGTGTTGCAATGGACAATCCACGGAAAAGATATGTCCTGGAGACCAACGTTTTAACCCTGACGCTGAAAATTGCGAGTGGCCTAACCTCTACTCCTGTGTCGAAAGTAAGGATGTTTCTGAATTGTATTCCTATTAGCAAAATTAAAGTTATTATTTTAGAAAACATGAAAAATCTTCAGAAGTTGATGATTACGTCATTTTTTTTTAACTCATAAAATGAATTTGTTTTTACACAAGTAACTCGGAAAGTTTTTAGACAAGAGCAGACAAAAATAGGGTCTAAAACAGGGATTTCCAACCTTTCTCTTGCATAGACCCCCTTTTAAAGGAACGGTTTTCTTCACTGAACACCTTTTACCCTGTAATATACAGTATATGGGCCCCTTTTTCTCTATAATACACAGTATGTAATATACATTACATACGTCCCTTTTTTCTGTATACTATACATTTTTCTCTATAATATACAGTGTAAAACAGATTTGTAATGCCAGTAGTTGCACAAAAATAATTTAAATACAACAGTTACACTAAGAATAGGATCAAATATTTAGAATAAACTGGTTTATCAGAGATTTATATTTAATAATTTTTGTACTTTATTTTTTTATATATTTAATTCTGAAAATATAAACAGGTTTTTAGAAGCAAAATCATAGATTCTAATAGCACAAAAGTTCTATTTTAATTATTGCATAATTTGGCTAATGCATTGATACATTTTTTTTTTCAATTTTGACATAATATTGCTTAATTTAATTTTTAAATTTTTTAAATTTTAATCTAAAAATATTTAGCCTGTTTCTCCTTTCCCATTCGAGTTTTCCGTTCGTCTTATTTTTTATTATGCTTTCTTAAGTTCCTGCATTTTATCTTTTTTGTATTGCACTTATTACATAAAATATTTATATATTTTTAAAAAATCTGATGTGTACACTGTTCGAGATTTGCAAGAACTACCCGTTCTCCTTTCTCCTAATAAACTTAAAATAAAATAACTTTACATATATAATTCTTCAAAATCGTAGAACTGCAAGAAACTACAACAAAAATCTGATGGTTGCCACTCTTACAGTGATAAACTATGAAAAGAAAAATAACAACTGAGGCTGGGTTCTAACATGCACCACATGACTTCCTTGTACGGAATATTAAATTATACGCATTTTTTTCTTGCATTTCATTTAACTTATTATATTGAATTAAACCTACTTCGCCGACAGCGCATAAACCACAATAGAATAAATGCATTCTTTAAAATTCACTTTGTTTACCATAGCGACACTCTGGCGCTAGGTTTACTTAACAGTATTATATTTCGTTCATATTATAACTCAGAATGCACAAAATTTATATCATTTAAAGAATTATCTAATCGTTGCCACATGTTCTATTCAAATACTATAATAAAGCTAGAACGATGTATAAAAAAAATTAAGCAAACAAAACAAAAAGAAACAGTTTTTCACAGACGATTGAGTATTTCTCATTCAATTAATTCAGTTTTCACTTCGCGACAAGGCAAAATACATAAAAACTCAAAATATCTGTATTAAAAATTACGAAGTAAATCTTAAATACTTATTTCCTCGAAAAAATTCCAGAAAGGATTAAGCATGATTTAATTCGCAATAATAAATGGAAGGCGTTATTTTTGTTGTTGCGAAGCTTAGTTTCTCTATAGATTGGCAACAAATCTACAATTCTGCTGTTTCAAATGTAAACAAATAATGGCCGCCATGTTATTTAAAACTTAACCGGCACTTAAACAACTTTTAAAATTGTTGATAATTCTAAAAATATTGCATCCAGATTTACTAAAGGCATAAAAACCTTAACCGGAAGATAAAAACAACATAATTCAATCATTTTTAAAGCAAAAAATGTACAATTTACAAACATATAAGAGTAAAGAAACTGAGATCACTGAGCCGGGTAACAGAGTGGATATATATAAATATATTTATATACGTTTGGTGCAGGCCGATTGCAACCAAAATACGAGGTGCACATCTACATGTTATAGCAGTCCTATATACAAAATTTCAACGTTCTGAGGCTACTCGTTTTTGAGTTATGCGAGATACGTACGTACATACGTTCGTACAGACGCCACGAAAAATTCTCTTCAGAATTCATTTTAAAGCAGTTTTATAATTTTTTTTGGAGGAAAGAGTCTTTTATTCTGTCCTTACGTACAGATATCACGCAAAACATCGTTAAATTGCATTCGATAGCGGTCAAAATGGATATTTTCGTTGAAATATGCTGCCTGAAACTTTTCGCGATTACAATACTTCCTTTTTACTTCGTACAAGGAAGTAAAAATATTTTGACTTTCAATATCGTTGAGCTTGTAATAATGAGATCTTGGTTTTGCCGATCCATTGCCGATTCATATTCGGCTAACGACCCTCTTTGAAATTTCACTGACTCAGTTGCGAACCTCCGTTCTGAAAGAAAATTATTTTTTATTTGCGTAAATTAAGACACCTTTATGACCGTATATGATAATTTGTGGCAACAATTGGAATTTATCTATAGTGTAATAAATTTTAAAATAAAGAAAAAAGCAACTGAAGCCAGGGCTTCATGATGTTTTATGGTTTAAAGTGGGTCTAAATCAAAATTCAGTGTCTACAATTATCATATAAAAATGAATCTCCCTCTCGTACCACTGCGTTCAGACGGTTTATTGAGGTCGATATTCTCTCCTGGATGAAAAATAACACAGGAGAGTCTTTGACAACTGTAATACCAGAAAATGTGTAAGCCATATGAAAAATGTTAATTAGCCATAATCGCTGTAGCTACCAAATGATAGTACACTAGATAGAACAGTACACTCGGTAGAACAGACTTAATGACTTATCATCGTACTGAAAGGCTTCAACCCCCTAGAGGAGATCCAAGAGGGCGCCACCCCCGGCCAACCCAGGAAGGCAATTATGGACACAGTTTTATGGAACGCAAGACAAGGCAACCGGGCATCAACCGATCTGCATGCAAAGAGAACAATGAACTTAGTCAAAGCCTGTCCCTCAGTGCTGACCAACGGGCGCTAAACCCTCGAGGACAATCTTTATAATATCTGACCATGTAGCTAAAATTCCCCACAACCAAAGGACAGATAAGACAGCACAAGGTTTCTGACCTAAGGTAAATACCAAATGCAATAATGTCTGCTCAGTGGGAAAAAAATCTACTCTCTAACAGCCATCACAACAAAGTAGTGGCTGGCAATTCAGTCGACATAAATTGGTCATACACAAGTAGTAGGTACAGTTAATAGTAGTAGGTACAGTTAATAAAATTTATTCTAAATTTATAACAATTATTTTTTATGCAGCTTTCCTATCGCTCTTAGCTTCAGCTTACAAATTTCTTACCAGAATGAGTTTTCATAATCGCGTTTAACGCAAATGAGAAGAAGTAGTATTTAAGTCGAAGTTCCACTGACTTCAGGAGAGAGAATCAGAATTTCTGAATAGCGCGCGTTTGCCTTTGGGCAACGTCTCTCTAAGCTGTTACTGCGTTCGGCAGTATTACGTGCTCTTGATAGTTACACTAGAGTAACTATTTAGAGGCCAACTATTTTAGAATTGTGTTAGCTTCGTCTAAATCTCTTTAGTTAGTTATTAGTTAAGTTCTTATTTTTTATATTTTTGAATTTAAGCCCAAGTGAAGAATTATACGTCCAAATGCTGTACGTCCTAAGAAGGGGACCGTCTGTACATCTTTAGTTTGAGAAAAAAAGAGTAATTAACCCTTCTTGACTGTTACGTTTCTGTTTCTGGACTTAAGTGATTATTCTCTTAGTAGTTCACTAGGTTCCTCAACACTGGGTTAATAGTTAAAAGAGAAAAACACTACAATAGTGCAAAAGATATGGTGCACAGAAATCAAGTGCAGTGCAGGTAAATATAAAAAAAAGTTGTGTATGTTAATTTTACACAACCAAGATTATCACCCGCTGTCTTCAAACAAATAAATAAAGCATTAGGTAAAGAAAATATTACGTTTTGGTCCATGGTCCATAATCGTCCAAATAAAAGCTAATTGCGTCAACTTGGATGTTCACTCGAGGTGGGGAGAACTCTAGTCCTAAAAAACATTCACTCAAGTTCAGTAAATGTTAAAAAATGTTCGTTGATGAAAACATAAATACAAGTTAGTGAAAAAGCAGTAGAAAGTTCAACGTCCGTCATTGAATAAATAGAAAACAGATATTAAAAAATCAGTATTTCCTTGCATTTTATAACCTAAGTCAATCAATATCCATTTGAAATTTTATAAACATCGAAGAGACCGATAGATAGTTATGATATTCATGAACCCATACAACATGAAAACCCTTGTTCACGAGTGATTTGCATTGGTACAATTAATGCCCTTACAAGAAATCATAAAAAGAATCTATTAAGACTCTATTAGAAGTTCTACACCAAATGACAGAGGAAACCACAGAATGAGCAGCTGTTCCGTCTGAAAGACGTTCAGCACCAAATGATACATGCGACATGCGACGGAGGACGTGGGCACCACCCCTCTACCAATACGGTTAATCGGTATAGCGCCATGTCCACCTTTATCTAGATAACCATACGTGGTAATTATGCTAATATACTAATACATAAACATACATACAAATTTGGTATTTAATACAGTGGCGTTAAAGCTAATTAATGTCAGACCCTGGCCATGTTACAAGGTGTATGCAAAAGCATGGATACGGTAGCATATATGCATAACTTGGGTACTCATATGTTGAGTACACTATGATCCTTTGAAGCATTATCATTAGATACACAAAACATGTACTTACTGAAATATTAGGTGCGCAATGTTATGCTGGAATAAGTAATTAGTACAGTGAATTAAAAGTTAACTTAAAGTTGGATCCACAGGTATGCATAAAATTACGCGTGAAGATCTGCATATGAAGAAATTGTTTGTCATTTGGTCCGCCATAAATTAACAGATCCGCTAAATGCGGAGAATGCCAAAATCCCCAAAGAAAATCTAAAATTACTTAATGATAGTGGACATCGTATTATTTCTAAAATCATAACTGGTAATGAAGCGTACATACACTTGTTTTACTTTCCAACACGTGATGATAGTAATGAATGGGTCCTTAAATCAACAGTGGTAAAAAGAAGACAACGAGAAATGAAAAAACATAATGTACACAGTTTTCTTCAAAAGTACGAGACTGGTCAATGTTATTAAGTTAGAGGGACAGAAGAAAATTAGAGTAACCTGATTCACCACCAAGTGTCTTCCAATATTCTTTAAGAAAGGAAAATTAAGGAACTCCTTCTTCACCATAATAGTGCGTTCTTCTCATTCAGCAAAAGTGTCAGTTTGAATTTCCTGAACAAAACACATTAAAGTGACAGGACATCCACAATCCTGATCTTCTCCTGATCTTGCTATGTGTGACCTTTGGCTGTTTCTTAATCTAAAACAAACTTTACGTGGCCTTCGTTTTCATTCCGAAGATAAGATTGAGGCTGTAAAAGCATATTTTTCATCAATTCCTAGAAAATGCATGGCTTAAAGCATTTCATCTTTAGTAATTCTCCAAAAGTGCATCTACAAAAATAAATTCATGCTAGAAGGGGAACTACTTTGAATATGCTTAAAATATGGTAAGTTTAACTTGTACCATTCAGTTTGTAGGGTTATTCTTGTACCAGACAAGACTGAAATTATCGCTATGCCTTAAATACTTACAAAGTAGTGAAAAAGGTTCAAAATAACCTTTTTATTTTAATCTAGTTTGAATATAAAAGTACAACTTGTGCTACAGACAGAATCACCACCCGTTATTATTTGAATTAAGCAATGATAATTAGATTTCAACGTTGATACGTTGTCAAACATTGGCATAAGAAAAAAGCTGGCTAGATGTATTTTGTGAAGCATTGGAAAGCGAAAATGCCAAAGCCGGGATATGATTTTCAATCAGATTATTAACAGCACACGCAACTGCCAGAAGCTCTCTCTATTAAAGATTCGAAATTCTTAGCTTAAATACTCAAAGCTAATGTCCACTCTGTCGAGGAATATGGAAAAGAAAAGCTACAGTAAATACAAAATCATAATAACTATTTAATTAAGATACCTTCGAAGATGCATATTCGAAGATTCATTTATTTTAACTAACCAGTTATTTTATGTTCAATATCTCTACTGTCATTCTTCCTTTCCGTTTTCCTACCAAAATGCTAATTTTATTCGTGCGTATTCAAATGAGACAGAAAGAAATAGTATTTAAAGAAAGGTTTTGGATTGTTTAGTCAGATTGTGTTCCGCCTGCTGAAAACCACGTTACTAGTTGATATTCTACGATAGCAGTCTGTTTCCGGCGTTGCTTTATTCTTGCCAGTAAAGCCGTACGTAGCTTTGTTACGTACGACGCTATTTTATTCTTGACGATAAAGCCGATTGCTTTATTCTTGCCGTACGTAGAGACATTAAGTGAAATAACAAAATCCATTTTGAATCCGTTTTAAATGCAATTATATTAAATTTTAGTTACAATCCGTTTTGGAAGAAGGAATCCTTTATTTTATCCATAAGTTCAGATGTCACGCATAAATTAGTCAAAATGGATATTTTCTTTGAAATATGATACCTAAAATTTTTCGTGCTTGCGGGAAGTTTTCAAAGTGAGAAGAAATCTTTTAAATGCATTTTCTGCTTGAAACAGTAAGCATGATATTTATTATTAATTAATTTTGAGGGATAATTTAAAACCGTAAGGATTTTTTATTTACTATTCCATGCTTTATTTAATGCCATTATGGGTAATTTAGATGCACAGTGTTAATGTTAAAACATGCAGTTAAAAGTTTATATAGTGCATGGATAGGAAGCGCTTAAAAAACTATTTTGCTGCTATAGATTACTGAAATATTTAATATTGTACTTAAGGCTTCATGTAAAAAACATAAATGCAATAAAATACGAAATCTAGTTTAAAATGAAAAACGATGCAAAATTTACATTAATAAATCTATACAGTTGTACCTCGGTATACATCCTTAATTCGTTCAAGATACTTCGAAATATATACAAAACGAAAAAATGAGAGTTAAAGGGAAAATAATTCATTCTTATAAAAAATCCTATTGTTATTATTATAGCAATGTTTAATACTGAAATACAGATGCAATTGATGAATAAATACTGTATATAAATGAAGCATTGCACATAATACTGTACATAATATTATACATAATATTGTACATATACTGTACATATACTGTACTATACTTATACATAAATGAAAAATACTATGCAATATACACATAAATCAAGCATACTATACATAAATGAAGTATACTGTACATAAATGAAGCATACTATAAATGAAGCATACACAATATACAATAATGAAGCATACTATATAATATATACTGTACATAAATGAAGCATACTAGTACATAAATGAAGTATGCTATACAATAATGAAGCTTATTATATAATACATACTACATAAATGAAGAATACTATACATAAATATTTTTCTGCTTTCCAGATGGAAAGCAATTTCGCAACATCTCTAACCTTTGTTTAGTAATTAATTTTATCCCTTTCGTAATATGACGCCATGGTGCTTGGCATACGGTACGTAATAGCCAAGTCCCGGATACGTATGCCATATTCATACTTTTCAACAATTTTACCTCCATGGTGATCCTAACTGTTTACTTTGTTGCTTGATTCTTCTCATTAACTTTTCTGAATCTCACTGTTAAAGAATTTCCTTACGAAACAAATCACTTGAAAATCCATAGCTATAGCGAGGGTTAATAACTGAAGAGTAGCAAAAAGCATACTGATTTCATCGGCAGTCCTAGCCTCGTCTCAAAGAGGAAAACAAGTACAGTGAGCGCAGTCATAACACGTGGAACTGGAGTCATATTCCAAACAAATGTCATACACCAAACACAAATTTCCGCAGCCAAACAGGACGTATACTAAGTTAGACGTATTTCAGAGAGGACATACACCGAGTTACCACTGTATTTATTGATTTTTTTTATTAATTATGCAAAATTTATAGATAATAAAAGGAATGCGTGAACTTTATACGTTACGTACGATATGCCTTAAACGTTCAAAACAAAATAATTTGTTTTAAATTTTGGATACAAGATGACAAGGCATTGGCATACCTCTATAAAAATATTTACTTTAGCCACACGCTGATCTTAGCTGCAAAAACATGGAGGTAGGAAGTAAGAAGGAGTCGCCCTAAACAAGTTTCTCCGTACCCTGCTCTGAAGCACAGGCGATCCCTACGTGGTGACCAAAACATTGGGTCATTTACCATTGAGTTCTATGGGATTTGACGCGTTCGGGTGTAAATATTTTGTAATTACGTCGCAAATATACATATAAATGTATATATTTTCTTTTTCTACAACACTTCAGAGTCCTAAGTATGTGAAAACAACATATTTTTAAACAACATTTCATTCTGAACGGAATTAAATGCTATAATTTTCACAGGACAGTTTTCTCAGAATGGTTTAATTTGAATGAAATATTTTCACAAGTTTTCGTTAATTACATTAGAAAAAAAAATGAAGGTAATTCGATTTTATTCGTTTAAGGTACAAAAATTAAGATCAAAGTTTATTGTATTATTAATATTAAAATTATGCATTATTTCTTTTCTATTTATAGAGCTTCTTCCTAAAATACTTTCTTAAATATGACATGATTTTTTGGCTTCTTTTAAATCGAAAAATGTAAGTCAATTTATAATTAATGCTCTATTCGGTTCATTTTAAATTAGAGAATTATTAGGAATTAGCGAAATACTTTAAATAAGTATTTCGCTAATTCCTAATAATTAAATATGTATTAAATAGTATTTGACTTTCTCTGAACATTTCTGAAAGGGAATAAAATAAGTTTTTTTTTTTTTTTTTTTTTTTTTTTTTTTAAGTATTATTTAAAACTTGTAACTGAGTTATTATAAAATGTAAAGGGAATAATTCTTTTAATTATACTTATCAGATTTTTTTTTTACCCTTCATTTCAACAATACATATTATTCCAAAACTCTTTATTACGTTCTTAAATGCGCATCTCGTAGCATTTGCTTTACAATACCTTTTAACAGATTGCTTTATAATACGAACAATTCTTGCTTAAATAGTTTTATAACGTATTTGTCAACAGGATTTCAATTTATGTTTACAATTCAATATTAAGGTTATTATATATTTAGATAATATTTATATCATTATAAATTAGATACATTTAATCATTAGATTTCTTCACAGTACTTTCACAGGTTTTTTATAAGTGAATAAATTCTTCATTTCAAATACATTTATAAATAATTTAATGAATATTTAAGTATTTTGTCAAAGGCAGATACATGCTTTTTGCAAGCACATGCATAAATACCCATACATATTTCCTATTTATCATTTCCGGCATGTGCAAATCTTTAATTTCTGTGCATTCACTATATTTTTCGTGTAAAGTAATTTACACTAATTTAGCATACACCCGAAAGTTTTACATAAAAAATATATATGAATATAATTTGAATGAAAATTATAAGTATTATTTTTAATACCCACTCAAAGGTCAGTTTTTCTTCAAAATTCCTCCACGACGGCATCTCTCTCTTTAGGCAGATAGCCCTTGCCTGCGTTACTCTATTTAATAAAAACTTAATCTGACCTATGTGCCTAATTACAAATATTTTAACATACATAATTTTATATTTACATTTAGCCATCAAGTTTCAAACTTTTCAAATCTTCTAGAAAATAAATTTTGGCAGATCTCTTTTAGCAATTTTCTTAAAAATCTATATTTTTGTAGTGCAACAGCTTAGAATTTTATAAAACAAATTCATAATCAAAATCGCTGTTGTTAGTTATCGAAAAATAACCAAGATGTGATTTTTGCGTAAATGTCAGTAAACTATACAAATTGCTATTATCCATCCCACTATGAATGTTTCTTTCATGCGAGAGTGTCCCTTTTTCGATTTCTATGGAACTGTCGTGTGTCGAAATACTATCAGAATCTTGTCAAGCGAGCTTCTGAATGTAAACAAATAACACCCCGTCTGGTGACCCAAGCTTCAAAGCAGTGCTTTACTTCTAGCGCGGAATGGCCCCTCCTCCCTTTCCTTACCTCCATGTGCAAAAATCAATGATTAAGCAGCCAACGCGCGGGACCTGTAACATTTCTTTTCCTGTGAACTCCCGAAAAAAGTGAAAAGAAAGTTTTACAGGCATACCCTAAAGTTGCCCTTCCCCGTGAAAATATTCAAAAAGTTAACAAATAGATACCAAAGTCAGAGAGCAGCTGCAGGAGATTATTAGAGTGTTTATAAAGCAATGGGATTAAGTTTATTTTAATCTATGTTTCTAGTGGTAGGTAAGGAAGCGAATCTGAAATGTTTTGTTACCTACAGCAGTTTGTGAAAAAACTTATAGTAATTTCTACTATTAAATAATGAAGAATCTGTACGTGTGTATTGTATGTACGTATGTTCTCCCACTGTAGAAAAACAATACAATGACACCTACAGCCTCCAAATTTTCAACACACGTAACCTCCACCCGAACATGCCCTCGAAGCCTGAATTTTGAAGTTGCTTTTGATTTATTTCATATTTTGGCAGAAATTGTAATTGCAAACTCAGCGATTTAAAAGGCAGCCGTGGCAACACTGCCGGAATCAAACATAATCATCTCTGGCGTACCAGACTGTTGTCATTCGGCAAAATGTAAGATATTTAATTTTCAGTTTTAACCAACAAACTCGGCTATTTAAACGTATGCACTGCCCAAAACTAAATATTATCTTCCACGCCCCAGCGTGTTGTCAGTAAAGCGTAAGATAAACGTAACTTTCAGAATCGTAACTTCCAAATAATGTAACTTCAGTAAAGCGTAACTTTCAAATTTAATCTCTTTGTTAATGAGTAATAAATTAAGTAATTTAAAGGCAATAAACGCATTTTTTAAAAGTATTTTTTCTAATTTTTAATGGGATGTATTTAAAGAAAAATGCAATTAAATCATGAGACGTCCAATCAGAAATATTAAATATGTTTTTGAAATTACATTAAATAGTTAAAATAATTATATATTTATTCTTTTTAATGGTAACTATTTTAGGTGGCTGGCCTCACAAGTGGCTAGTGTAATGAAAACAACCCACACTGTTCAAACGGTCAAATGCGGTTTATTCCTCTATTTATTTTTTCATGTAGTTATATAATAGTTATTCTTCTGTTTTTCATGTGTTGACATGCTGATGTATTTTTCTTTGGCAGACATTTTGAGCAAAGATACAACAACGAATCCTACTCCTTCTACGCCATCTTCAACTAAGAGTTCTGCGTCAACGGTAAAGGATTACGAGACTTCAACAACAACACTTGCCACTACTACGGATACTACAACAGAACATGACTTATTCTCAACAACAAGTGATGATGATATCGAAAAAGATACAAAAACAAGCACTAGATTTGTATACATATATTCTTCTACTGATTATATTCAAACAGACTCTTCAACAGAAAGTGCAACCTCAAGATCTACCGATGCCATATCAACAACTCAAACAAACGAATATTCAGATCCAGATAATCAATTTTCCTCAACGTATGATGATTTTACTGTATTTTCAACAACAGATGATAAGATCAATAATACTGTAAAGCATACAACCAAAGAGACCAGTTCTCCGTTTGTGGAATCTTCTTCTACAATAATTAAAACAGAAAATACTCCTTCGCAAACTGTTACAGAGATTCCAAGTACGACTGAAGGTTTGGATGAAATCAAAATGTCCACTTCTCGAATTTGGGATATTATCAGTTCTACAGTGGTTAATATACTGTGCCCTGAACCAAATGGATATTTTCCCCATCCTACCAATAAACATAAATTTGTTGGATGCGTGGATGGTCATCCTTCAGTGCTTGAATGTCCTGAAGATTTAATTTACAAGCATAGCATAAGAGCATGCGTTTATGAATAAGTCTCTAAATAGTTTCTTTTTACTTATATTTCTACTTAGTTTTACTTTACTTAATAGTTTTAGTTTTACTTTGTTTAATAGTTTTATAAATGTACCGTACTGCTAGATCCACAGCTAATATTTCAACGTATCATTAAATTGCATTCTCTATACTTGTTGAGCCTTTATTTACATTACTAGCCGCTTGCGCGGACAGCCATCTGAATTAGTTATCATAAAAAAGAATTATTTGCATTATTTTAAAGAGTGCAGCTCGTGTCATTTCATAAAAATATTTAATGTTCTAACTAACATTAAATATTTTTATGACATTAACATCTTCTGATTGAAATGCATTTTTATTTAAATCAATCAGATTAAAAAGTAGAAGCTGCGTTTATTGCTTTTAAATGCTTTAGCTTGTTATAATACAACAGGCAGATTAAATCTGAGAGTTAAATATCTTACGCTTTACTGAATTGGTAACACGCTGGCGAGCATAACCAGCGGAGCATAGAACTTGTCTTATTTGAAATTAGTCTTGCAAATCTATGAATATTACGCTCATTTATATTGTCTTAGCACGTCCAATAAACGGTTTCCTAAGTCATCTTCCAGTTGCCATCTGGGCGTTCTGCTCTTAATCACGAGAAGCACACAGCAAGAAATTCGATACTCCCTTTTAAATGTTTTAAAGTATAACTCAAGTTTCACTGTGTGGAATGTTTACTGTGATGGTGCTATACAAAAAGTTTGATTCTGTGCAGTAGTACCATAGTATAGTATCCGTTGATAATTCTTTCCATTACATATGATAGCAGTAAACGCTGTGTAGAACAGGATATTCGTGTACACATGTAATCTCGGCGAAGTTAAGTTGATAAATCTGGCACTTAAAGACATTATTAATATATAAAAAATATTAAAAAAAAACTCATAAAATTTACAGATTTTAACAATCGCCCAGAAGGGTTGTGTTAAAATTTAATATATAGTTTGTCAGTTGGTATTATCTATAGAGATGGTCTAGATGGAATAATAAAGAAACATTTTTTAGGATACTAGACGCATGCATATTTTGACTGACACAGAAAAGCTGTATATCTTCTGTATAATTGAAAAGTGAAAAATATAAAACGACGTTCTATGTGCATATTTAATGTTTTAATTAGATATATTATGACTTAAATGCATCTTTTATAAAAATCTATTCGAATAAAAAATAAAAATTTATATGCTTAGAAATGTGATCTCTTGCTTTGAACAGCTTAGTCTGCTCGTCAATTAAAGACTTACCAGTTCGAATGATCAATATCTTACATTTTCCTGAATGGCAACAGACTCAAATGAAAAGTGAAACAATGCATTGACAGTGTAATTGACTCTACATTTAACGTGTATCATTATTAAATCGTGTTTCTAGACTAATAACTCTTTTAGGCTAATAATGTAGCATGGAAGTAAATCTTGTTTATTACCAATCATATGCTTCCCTCTTTCTGCTTACTGCTCAAACGTTTCGACACTAAGGCATAAATATGTATTTGTGTCCCACAAATGTCTTTCAGCAACTATAACGAAAGATACACATGTAATTATTGAAATGCACCGCAAATATTTTAGCAATTAAAACATTATTGAGTTTAAATCTCTACTTTTAAGAAATGAAGAACCTGGATGTATGTATGTACGTTTCCATGTTTCTTGCATTGTGGAAAAATGGCGGTACCTAGATTTAAAAAAAAAAAAAAAAAACTGAAAGTTTCAGGTTTTAAATTACGTCCAAAGGGGCGTTTTTTTAACGTTTTGTGTGTTACCTTTATTTATTAAATATCATGTTCTTTGCACTTAAAACATAAAATTAAATTCAACAGCAATGTCGCAAAATAATTTTAAAATGAGCCTATCTTTAAAATTTCCGATGCACAGTTACGCGCGTTGGAGATAAAAAAGTTTTTTTTTTCGCTGTAGAGTGTTGCCATTGCTCGCTTTTAAGTCGTTGAGTTTGTTAAAAAAAATTGTTAAAATTTTACAAAATATGAAATCGATAATAAAACAAATTCCAAATTTTAAATTTGGACTTTCAGATGCCCATATTCGCAGAAGGATTACGTCATTCAGAATTGGATGGCTCTAGGTACCGTTATTTTATCACAATGCGAGAAACATACATATATTTATGCAGATTCTTCATTATTTAATTTCTTCAAATATAATACAGGGCGATAGTATTTGGTGGCAACGATTTGAAAAGTGGTACAACCACTAAAGTTTTCAACGCAAAATTGCAAAACGAAAACAGTAGTCCTTCAGGGACAAAGCTCCTTTGGACTAAAAACAAAATTAAATGCACGTAGTCTTCCACTCGAACATCTGACCTCGAAGCCAGAATTTTGAATTTCGAATTCTGACTTCGAATTTGTTTTTCAACGATTTCATAATTTGTACGAATTTAATGAATTTTTAATTAATAAACTCGCAGATTTGAAAACAAGCAGTGGCAACACTCTTCAAAATAAAGTATTTTGTCTCATCGGCAAAAGTCAAGATATATTTGTTTTTTAAATCTTAGCAACAGTCTTCTCTATTTGAAAGCACTGTGTTGCCTGCCCGAAATAAAATACTTTTTTCTTCGCCAGCGTGTTACCAATATCCAGCGAGAATTGCACAGAATCAAACTTTTTGTATAGCACCATCACAGTAAACATTCCACACAGTGAAATTTGAGTTATACTTTAAAACATTTAAAAGGGAGTATCGAATTTCTTGCTGTGTGCTTCTCGTGATTAAGAGCAGAACGTTTATTGGACGTGCTAAGACGATATAAATCAGCGTAATATTCATAGATTTGCAAGACTAATTTCGAATAAAACAAGTTCTATGTTCCGCTGGATATGCCGCTAGTTTTCTTCAGCTTTATAATCGCAAAGGACAAAAGAGAAACTAGGCCATAACGCTCAAAGAAAATAATCAGGCTACTGGCGCCATCTATTGAGAGAAAAAGAAACTTCACAATTGCGATTTGCAAACTATGAAATGATTTCCTTTAAATCCTACGGGTAAATACATATTGGAATTGGAATCGTTAACTATAAACGAAAGACTGTTATGAATCTGAAATGCATTCAGAAAATCTAATGCACCAACGAACGATGTTTTTTGAATAACTCTGGCTGCAGAAAAATGAAATATGTGATTTTCTGTAGAACAGAGGAGTTACGTGTTTTCTTTCTTCCTAACACATGCCTTATGCTCCTTAGTACAAAATTTCAAGGCTCTTTTAGTTTGGCCAATGTGAATTAAACCATGCTTCCAAGAAATTCTGCATATATCTCATGATTTCATATCCGGAACGGGGTTTCTTATCATGGAACTGCGAATTTTGTTGATAGAAGAAAAAAACAGCCCGAAAGTCGAACTTCTGTAAAATGTATGTAATTTTACAGCTGACTAAAAGAAAGGAATAACAACATAATTTTTATAATCTTCTGATACAATAGAGTGCTTTTGATATGTCGAAATGAGAATTTTTTAACCGCTTGGTCAATAATATTAGGTGAAAAGCCAAGGTAACGGTATAACGGAGTAAATGAATAGGAAGCATATCATAAAAGAATTTCTGAAAACTGGAGTAGGCAACCAACTATTGAAAAGGTATTTAGTCATGTTAAGGGCCTCTCATGCTAACATTCGGTTAGTTACTATTTTTTAAAATTATTTAATGATTTAGAGGCCTTCCTCACAATTGCTACTTGCGGGACTTCATCATACAGTCTCTGTCCATTGAAAAAACACACGAACTGATCACATTACATTGGGTCCACGAAAGTTCTTACCCGGTCTGTATTTTCCCAACCGCTAATCGTAGACATGCACTTATAATTATAAAAAATATTTTAAATAACGCAAAGATTCATGTTTTAGTACTTTAAAATTTAAAGACATAAATTTTGAAAAAATTACGAAAGCAACCATTTTACACATTCCTCCAGTTCCTATACTTATATTTAGAAAAAAAATTATACTTGTTAAAAAATTAAAACATAAAAAGTTTGACTCATGTACGAGAAAAATTGACTCAGGTACTTGGTATTAAGTGAATGATAGCATTTAAGGGCCATACGCATATTGAAGAGTCAAATGTTTACATTTGTACGAAACTAAAAATAAAATATCAGTTAAAAAAAGGTTTCCTGGTGTTAAGAGATTCAATAACGACCACTTTTATTCAGATTGTTGCGAAAACTTTGAGCAATATAATTCTTTTCAAAATGGTGGTCATGTTGATAAAATCTTATCGAATTCTTGGCAGGCTTCACTATTATCACGTAGTCAATATGTAATATTATTTGTATTAATTAAAAACCAAACATTTTTATTTTAATGAAATTCCAACATAATTACAAAATTGACATTAAAAATTAATAAAACCTTTTGAGAATATTCATAAAGTGTTTTTAAGCTTCGATCATAAATTACTCATGCGAAATTTCTTTAGGCATAACAAACGTAACAAAAAGTTACACATTGAAGACAGCAAATCGCAAAAGACTATCATTGAATGGCATTTAAGGGGAAACGCGAATTATTTTTATTTACTTCCTGACCACTTAATTCGTAACTGAAAATTACGTCAGAAATAGCCAATTTTAAAATTCAATACCTCGGTCAATTTTTATCGTATGGGAATCAAACTTTTTGTATTTTATTTCTTAAAACAAGTACAAAATTTTCCTAAACATAAATATGGGGACCAAAACAATGTGTAATTATTAAATTTCGTAATTTTTACAAAATTGATTTTTTTTTTAATTTAAAAATGCCAGAACATGAATATTTGTGTCATTTAAAATATTTTTGTAATTGGAAGCACATGTTTATGAACCAACGGTTGCGAAAATAAAGGACCTGAGTGGACACGGTACAAGGTATGGTAATTACATACATGTCTGAACTTTTGATGGTTTGCTAATATGACAATCAAATTTCAACTACCGATAGCCATCACGTCTCTATCATTTCTCGAAACAGCTATGTTAAAATTTAACTTATACTCATCATACTTTGTAATATAGCGAAAGTTAATATCAATAATTTATTTTTATATAAGGTTTTAAATTAATGAAAGTAAAAAAAAAATCAGCTGTCAAATATAATCATGATATATTTGACA